AGAGAGAGAGAGAGAGAGAGACATAGAAAAAGATTAGCAGAGAAAATTTCCTCGTCGTGGGAGCAAAAGAGCAACAAGAAAATTGCTGGGAGCCGCGAACACGCCAAGAAAGGAAATCCGATTCTTATCATCGCGTGAAATGCAGCAACGTCTTAATGGTCACTTAACCGGAAGTTGGCGGATTCGGTGAACTTCGAGACCGCGGGTGGAAAATTTGTGGAAGCGGCGCAAAACCACCGAGCGACGCGGTGTATTTGTACCGTAAATGTTGGCAGAATTTCTCCAACTTTGTTCACGTTCAATAATAACATTTCACCCAGCGAAGATCAAAAACATCTTCCTGATTTTGTTTTTTGAAAAGTATATCTTTCGATTCAACAGATGTGTGTGTAGAAGAAATAAATAAAAGTTACGTTTTATTTTTTTTTTTTTAAAAAACAATTTGTGCAATTTCGAGCAAAATTCTACTTCTGAGCAGAAAAACGGATATTCGATAATTCTAAATTCTACAAGATAAAACGCTTTTAAAACGATGGATCCATTTTCCATCATCCTCCTCCTCCTTCTCCTCGTCTTCGAATTCGTCGTTAAACGAAGTTTTTGGAACAAGCTTTGAAACACGGGAGGAAATATCTTGGTGGAAGTTAGCAGCAGTGGTTTGCACGAGAAACCACCAAAGTATAAATTTTTCGTGGCCGCGAGAATATCGTGGAGTGAGAAGGGAAAGATTTGGTCGCGCCCTCTTTATTTTCATCTTCCCTCTTTCCTCCCCCGGTGGCGCATGCACATTCTTTCGTTTGTTAAATCCCTTTTGCAGACGGGGCTGGTGGCGTCTGCATCTGCAGGAAACGATGTCAACGATACTCGTCTTAATGCCTGTTGAACCGGAAGTGCAAGGATAAGAGCCCCAAGGCCACTCGAGTCCACGTCGAGCAAGCGTAATGAAAACGCGCAGAAAACAAGGGCTCGTCTGGTAATTCGTGTATTTTTCCTTCGTTCTTTTCTTTTTTTCTTTTTTCTTTTACAATACTAGTCTCTATTTGTAAATTCTCATCTTTTTTTCGGTATTTTCTTCTTTTTTTTTTTTTCCTCCCCTCTCGTTCGATTTGAATCAGTGTTTCTCTCGATCGCGAGGAAGCAATTAGGAAGGAAGAAGCTACTTTGACAGAGTGAAGTGGAAAACGACGGTGAGAAGAGGTATTAAGAAATTGTTTTTTTTTTTTTTTTTTTTAACCACTCGTATTTCCAAGCACGCTAATTTTTCAAGAAAAAAGAAAAAAAGAATAGCGTACGGAAATGGATTAATTATATAACGCGTCTAGGTTTGATCTAGATTTGATATCGATTTTAAATGATTCGTTCGTTCACGAATACGTCGATAATTCGATCGCATAACCTTTAATAACAATAACCCGTCAGATTTACTCTCGTCACTCGAAAATTCGAAATTTCGTAAATCAATCACGATCACCGACACGGCTCGACCTCCGCTCGCAATATTTACTTCAACAACAATACGAAATTTCAACGATATTTTTCACAAGGAAAATAACACAAATAACACAAAAAACACGAAATATTTCATACATCGAATCGAGAATGTAAAACTATATTCGTTCGTATTCTCTCTCTCTCTCAAAAAAAAAAAGGATTCATAAAATTGGAAAAAAAAATGTTAAAACCACAACTCTCCCCTCCCCTCTTCCACTGAATCCAATAATATTTGAATCAATCGTCGATCGTCTTTCTTCGACCCCCCCGATTCCCGATTATCCTCGCTCGTTCGATCGTGAAAAAGTAAATAATAAATAATCCATCGAACGTTGAGCCGGAAATTCGGAAGGGAAGCGTGTCAAATTGTTGGGGCGTGTGCCGATCCCTCGTAACACGTTTTCGAACACGTTTCGAGGCGGAATTGTGAGTTATACTTGCGGACGGTGTGTCGCCGAGTCCTCGAGATCAGCGTAAGCGGATTTGCGGTAGGCGATTGCGTGGCCCGCGCAGCAGGTCAGGAACACGGTGCATATGGAGAGAAGCACGATCACCTGGAACGCGATGGATTGATTTATCGATGCTTGCTTCGCTCATCGAGCTTGATATCGAAGCACCGATACGCGAATTTACTTCGAATTTTCGAGACGTTTGAGGGAAGAAAGAGAGGATAAATGTTGATTCGAGTGAGAAAATCTGTAATTATTGCACGACGTGTGCGACACAGCTACGCGATTCATTTTTCATCGAGTAGTTTGTTCGAATAGTTAATTGCAGATGGATGATTTTAAAATTGAAATCGTTTAAGGGGAAAGGGAATGTTTGCTTTTCACTATTTCTCGAGGGGTAATTAAAAATCTTACTTTACTTGCGAGTTCCTTTTGTTGATTTTTAAAATAATCGGAGAGTTGTTGCGGAGTTTACAATTTCGTGGAAATAAAGGATCTTTCGAGGTCAATGTTGCGTTCGAGTTTTTTCGTTGCGAGAATAAATATTGTCTGGTTAAACAGTTTGATAGAAACATTTTTCCCGGGGTATAGTTTAAAATGAAAATCGTGTTTGAAAAAATTATATATTGAAAGTTTGGTGGGAAAATTTCCTCCGGCTTATAATTCAAACCGAAAGTTGTTTTGAAACGTTGAGTCGCGTTGAAGTTTCTGACGGTTATTTTATATACTTTCTAACCGTAACAAGGAATTTGTAATTCTGGCGAAATAAAAATCTCTACGAGGCAGTCTAAATTCGAGCGCGCGAGAAGCGGAAACGAAAACTTGATAGAGCTATAAAATTGGTTAGAACACCTGGCGTGATTCGCAGGTGTCGAAACATCTTCGACTAAGATTACGTTTCACGTAGACGAGCGCACTCGTCTATGAATTCTGTGCAGAATCACTACGCTGCGATCCATTTATATTCCACAATTAAGATAAGACGTCCCCTTCTGTTCGTCGTGTGAAATGAAAATGAAAAGAATCATCACGTAGAAATTCATCTTCACATTCAAAGTGTCCAAGAATAAATATAATTCACATTCTTAAACAACGATGTAACGTAATACTTAAGAAATAAATGGAAACAAACTAATTACTAGAAGAAGAAAATTAAAAAAATTCTCGATGAAAATTAAAATTCCAAACCACGAAGAACGTTAAAAAAAAAACAAAAGAAGAAAGGAATTCATCGATGTTTGTTAATCGATAAGTTTCGGGTGAAAAAGTGCCATTTTCACCTACGATATTCTTTCACGACTAACATTGAAATACCATCTGTAAAAAGTAAGCTTGACAAAAAAAAAAAAAAAGGAAAAAAAAAAATGTCACGTTTCCAGCCACACGTGTCCAGGGATCGAGACACGTCAAAAGGGAAAAGTGATTTTGCGAATGTTTTAACGGAGGAGTGAGCAAATATTTTCGAGCCGTTTGTCCCGCTCGTTTGTACAGTTACAAGCAGTGGGGAGGGGGAGGGTATGTCGAGGCGCCACTTCGCGGCCACATTTTTTTCCTTCTTTTTTTTTTTTTTTTCCCCTCCGTTTTTTTCCCCCTTTTTTTACTCGATGGAAAAACAACGGAGAGCAACGCGTTCGAAAAACGATGCGCGTGTTATGCGTCGGTACGCGTCGGTTGAAAAATGTGCGGTGTCGCCGGTGGAAAACAAGAGGGATGAAATTGTTATTCCACTTGATTTCCGGCGAAATGGCGATCCTCATCGCTCCGCGATCGGATGAATTGAAAAATTCCGTTTCGAAAATCCATTACTCGACGTCAGGTTGACCGGTTGGAAAAAGGGGGGAAAAAGGAAAACGACGAAACAGCCCTTCCGTGGAAATCTTGTCAAAATCGATGGAATCGCGAGGAATGAAGAGCGTGTGACGTTTCGATCGTGAAACGCGAGCGAAACGAGTGATTTGATGAGAGAAACGTAACGAAACCAAGAAAACAAGAGAAGGGCGGTGATTAAAAATTGGAGGTTTGAAAATAAGATAGCTAAGTATTCTAAATTCTTTCGAAAAAAAATTACTCGACTCGAAATTTATACCATTTATACGTTTTGTATTGCAGAATCATTCGATCTTCGATACATTTATTTTCCACTGGTCGCGAATTAATTACGAACGAGTTTATCGTGCAACCATTGTAGATAAGGCGCGCCAGATAATTCATCTAATTAAAACATAAAAGAGGCCAACGTACGACGTGAGAACACAAGCCTGCCACGAAAAACGACGAATCTGATTAAACTCCATCTATATTTTCTTCCACGCGTCTATATTTTTAATTCACGAATTCCTGGCTAAAAAAAAAACAGGAAACGATTCAATTAACAGATTAAACCGGGGTCTCGTTCCACGAATTAACGTAGATCAACACTTCCGTATTTTTTACGTATTTACGCTCGAAGCCGCGAAATTGAAAATGAAATGAAATGAAAAAGAAACGCGTGAACACGCAATTCGTGGCGAACTTTTCTCGTGTGACTTTGCGAAAGAGAAGAAAAAAACACGGCGATTCTGGGGGGCACAGTTTTCGAAATGCATCGACGCAGCTGCAGTGGAGCGCGCCCATAAATTCCGTTGGTTATTCGAACGGCTCCGTGGACGACCCCGATAAACCGTCGATTTTTATTAACAGGTTCGCAGGCAAACGCGAAAAACCATTCCCCGTGCTTTTTGCCAGGTTGATTTATATACACCGGTTGGAACGGTGTCGAGATCGGAGCACACGTAACATCTGTTACGTGGCTCCTTCTAAACACGCAACTCGAAAGCGTGAACGGCGGTCTTTAACGGCTCGACATAATCGACATTCGATATCGTAAGAAATTTCCTTCGTCCTTCTTGCGCCAAGAAACGGCGCATCAACGGTCAAAAGTTTGGAATCGCTCGAAAGATAAGTAATATTCGACAAGTTTAAATCGAAGATGTATTATTAAAATCAATTAAAAAAGATTAAAACTTACGTGTCTACTGTAAATATATATCTCCTTTTTTTTTGTTGAAGTTTTAAAAAAAGAAATTCAACTTCACGTAAAAACCCGCAGTCTACAATTGACTTTTACCACGACTTTTTCTCGATCGGATCTTTGTAGATGGCGCGATACGCGTTGACGCGATAAAACAAAATGGCGGACGATTTATCAGATGAAAATCGGGGCTTATTTACGAGGCTCGCGTTCCTGGTTGAAGAAAGTGAAAATAATCCTTTATCCAAATTTCGTGGAAACTTTAATACAATAACTTGATCCATTTTTGTTACGAATAGACGCCATACAAACGTTATCATTTGTTATCGAATTTCTTTTCTTTTTTTTAAAAAATGAAATTAAGTTGGAAAAAAAATTAGCAGAGCTATGATTCGAAGAATGGATAGAGAACACCGATTTAGGGGACGGTGTATAATTTCGTATGGATCGTCTGCCGGAAGCGGTAACAAGAGAAGGGAAGTTCGTCGAACTCGTCACGGTGGTTGCATGCATAGAACGCTAATACGCGCTAGTAATTCGCGAGTATCGAGCATTTAGTTTAGTCCCGCCGCGGCCCAATTATCCGCTCGCAATTTTCTGTGCGAATATTTTCCAATTCCCACGTACACACTTTGTTACTGATTCTCGATTCTCCTCCTCCTCCTGCTCGTGTAAATTTCACGTCATTGGAAAATCGTTCGACGGAGAGAGAAAAAAAAAAATTTCATTTGGTTTATTATCCGTGAAATTTCTCGTTAATCGAGAGAGTACAATTTCTGTTTATTATTTAGAGAGATAATAATTATAGACGATAATGTGATTGTGTTATAGTTTGAAAATATATATATTTGTGAAGCGGTATTCATCGGGGAAATTGTTGTGAACGTATGGGATGACGATTTGTTAACTGTCTTGTGTTGTTTGGCCAGAGGAAAATGAATGTCACGCGTTAACGTGACAGGAAGAAAAGTGAACGGTCCCTGTTGGGATTCGATGTAGAAATTTCGTCTTCACCATTCGCGATTTGTAAATGGCGATAAAATATAGACAAATGTAAATAATGGATCGTCGTTCGAGAAATTACGTACAAAACACGATAACTTATTTGAAATCTTCGTTTCGTTTTTTTCATTCTCGAAAATCAACTTCGAATAAACCAGTAATTTTACGAGGAAGCTCTTACTCTCTCTGAAATATTTAAAAAAGAAGAAATCCTAAAAATTGCATCGAAATTCGTCAACTCGTTTAAATAAATTGAAATCTAAAAACCAAACCTTTCCGTTTATTTTAAACTTATCATCGGTCGATAATTTAATTAAACGATCTCGAAATAACCTCTGAATGAAAACCTTCCACTTTTTTCCTCGTTTCGAGTCGATTCGAAATCGAATCGAAAGAAACCCTCCTCCCTAAAAAAAACCCCTATTTCTCTCTTTATTTCGTCCATTTGAATCACGACAAAGTATAATATATATATATATCCACTCGGACCGTTTTATCGGGGGCGAGGTTGTCCCGGGACAAACGGGGCTTTTTCGACCGACAACAAGGCAATTGGGGAGGGGGATGGAGTGGCCGATACCGGCAAAGAGGTAGTAAGGCTCAACAAAGAAATAGAGCGTGCCTATTAGAATTTGGATCGATCGGGCTCCGTAGGCGGGCCAGATCCCTGCTCGCCACGATTGAACGTTCCTCCTCCACGAGGATTTCTCGACCGTGTGTGGTCGAGCTGTTCGATTCACGGATCGAGGGGAAGGTGGAGAATTTGCACCTTCCACACGGTGGTCTGGCTTACGGAGATTTAATCCGGCGTGCCTTGTGCGGGTGAGAAATTGGCCGAATATCGGTAACGGCCGGTTGCGTTTAAGTAAAATGGCCGGGCACCGGGGAGGGGGAGGAGGAGGAGTATCGATTCAACATTTCCAATCGTACGGTTGTTTCGTTTCGCGATCAGTGGGCTGTGGACAGGTTGGAAATTAGTATTTTCGTTGGGTGGGTGGATCGGGGTCGAATGGATGGATCGGGTTCGGCCAGATTGGCAAAATTATGCGTGAGAGGGTGGAAAATGGCGGGCGAGATTAATGAGACGAGTTGTGCCGGCGTTTATTGGGGCGTGTAGTCGTTGTTGGACGAATACTTACGCTCGTTACGCGGATCGGGGATTTCGAAAACATTCGAGACATTCTTTCCAGAGGGGATTTTATCAAGGAAATAAGCAGTTGTGGATCGAAGAAATTGACGAGTCCCTCCAATGAAAGTTTAAATTGAAAATTAAACCGAGTTATGGACAAATTCATAAATTTTCGAAGAGAGGGAAAGGATTTTTCACCTCCACGATCTGTTTCGAGATTTGAAATCGGGCCTTGGACGACCTTGGATCGTCGCGTACCGTGAAGATGGTTCGCCAAAGATGCATGAAGCTGTTGTCGCGTGCAACAGGAGGCCAATAGGAGTAGAGAGGAAGAGAGGGGGGGGGGAAGAAGGATAAAGGATAGGGAGAAGTGTGCGCATCGGTGGAATTGGAGAGAGTTGCGGTGAAAGATTTATGCAACATGCGAGGAATTCTTCTCTCGAATATGCAAGAGTTTTGACGCCGGGGAGAATTATCGACAAGCGAATTTATCGGGTTAATAACCGTGTAATTGTGCAGTACTCGCTTTATCGCCCGTAGATACGAATTGATGGATCAATTTAGGGAGAAATCTATCGATTGAAACGCAACTTACACCGATTATTTACAATCTTTTCACAATTGTTGCATCTCTCTTTATCCTCTCGTTACCCTCCTCCTTTGCGCTTCATTTTTCGCGTCATTTTCATTTCGTCTTTCAATACTCAATAGGTCCAAATTAATGGCCGACCGAATAAAAAGTAAAAGGAGAATACGAAAGAAATCCTTTTCTTAAGTATGTATTTTCATTGATGATATTCTCACTCTTCAATCCAGTTACATTAATAACAATTGGAAGGAAAATATATAGCAGAAGGTACGATAATATTTTCACCAGATTCGATTGTTTATTCTCCAAGATCAATTATCGAACGAGTAGAATCTTTTCCAAACAGTTTCTCGACACAAATTTCTCTAATTTCCGAGCTGCATCCGTGCGTACGCAAAGAGGAAGAAGCATTGGAATTTTCACTCGTTCGCCATTGAAACACATATTCTCCCCCCTTCATTAACCCCCTCTCGTATCATTTAGCTCGAGGAAATTCGAGCCCAAGAGCACTTTGCAACGTAGATTATAAGAATTAAATGATTTTCTGGTGGCGTAAAAAATTAAATCTCGATTGAAAAAATTCATTCCACGAGTCCCACTCGTGATGTTTAGGTTTGGTCGATGTTCGGTTCCACTCGTGCTATTCTTGTTTGGGCCGAAATCTTCACCGTTCACGAGTCAGACTCGTGATGACACAGGAAGGGGTTAATTGCCAAAGTAGATGTTATTATTTCGATACACGAATGCGTTACGTACAACTATCGTAGTGCCCCACATTTGCCTGGAGGAAGCCCGATAATCGTCGAATACTTTTCAACTCGACAACGGGCGGAAACGAGAAGGCAAGAATCTCGTTCGAAACGAGTTGGCTTCCAAGGAAGACAATAAGGACTTTCACTTGTCCCCCCTCGCGTGAGGAATAATGGGAGGCAGATTCCGCCTATTTAACGAACGAGGGAAAACGGGGCGTGCATTATGCATGCAGCTAAAAGCGCCACCTCCTCTCAGCGCGATGAATAAATAAGCAAGCCTATTTCGAGGGAGAGGAGATACCCGCGCGTTTATCTTCACGCGTGATAAGACGCCTGCACGCGGTAAATATTGATGCATCGCGTAATTAAGCTTGGCTGGGGCGTGTTCGTCCGCAATTGAAATTTCGTTCGCGTGGAGGGCAGCCAACATCTTCTTCTGTGTTTAACGCTGTGTTAAGAAGCGTGATGCGCGTGTTTATCGTATCTGAAGAAACGAGTATTAAAAGAAGTATTTGTGGAAAAATTTAATTTTTCGAAGAAAAAAAAAACGTGAGAGAGCGTTGTGAAATTTTGGAAATGCTTGGAAGAAATTGGGAGGAAGTGTAACGTCGTTTTAAATACGATCGATGTGATGAAAATAGTTTGTAATTAATTTAATTTAATTTCACGCGTACGAAAGTATAGCTCTGCTGTACAAGTCTGTTTGACGACTTGGTGATTCGTTTCTTTTTTTTTTTTTTTTCCATCATCTTTAGATTCATTACATTTACGCGCTTTCTAAGCGGTAAAGATTGACAAAATGTGCGTGTGTGTATGTGTGTATATATATAGACTATGTGTACACGTACGATTCTGGATGCAAATGGGTTAACTGAATTTTCAGCGAATATGGGTTGCCGCTTTTATTAAAAGGGAATGTAATTTATTTGGTCATTGATTTCGACGAGATACGAGTTTTGCCAACTGAAGGATAATTAAAAAAAAAAAAATAAAAAAATAACAGAAACGAGTTAAAAATGTAATTACACGGAAATGTAATTAAAAATTGAAGTATCGTTATTGGATTACGAGAATTGAGTCGCACGTGTTAAATAACATGTTACAAAAATCGATGCGTTTCTCTATTTTGTTATTATTTATTTATTTATTTTTTAACTTCTTTGCGAGACACACGCACATGGCACACGCGAGGCGGGACGTTTGACAGGGCGTATCGTAGAGGGTGCGAGATCACGGAACAAGCGACTCCATTCACGTCTCCATCCACTCTCGCCATTCCAACGCAGTACGCACTACTACGAGCTTTTGTTTCAAACGATCGATCAAACCATGGAATGGAATCGTTTGGCAACCGGAACAACCACGGTTTTAAAGCGAGGTGTAATCCCGTTTCATCGCGTGAAAACGCACTCGAAAATCGTCCGAATATCAACGCGCGTCGAATATCAACGAAACGAAACACGTTTCCCGCGTTACGTTCTCTCGAATAAACGAAACGATAAAGATCCATCTGATTCTTCGCGATATCGATCGAGCATATTGATCGTTGGTGGCGAGATTGAAAGAAAATAGAAGAAGGAAAAGAGAGTTGGGGAAGAGAGAAATTGCCAACCCGTCTCTTTTCGATCGTCTCGTTCTTCGTGCACGATAATGAAGCGGAGGAGGCATTATATATGTCGACCAATGGTAGGGGAAAAAATGAATTCACGGACGTCTCGTTTCATGCTGGTTGCCGCCTTTTTTCCTCCTTTTTTTTTCCCCGTCTGGAAATTGGCTTCGTGCATAAACCACCGGAGTCCCCAAGGTGTTCTTCACCTACCTTCATCCAGAGTTCCATTCTCGTTCCTTTCCATCGCTCTTCCATTTCCACGGTTCCACTCTGTTTCCCTTGTCCGCGCACGCTGACTGACCTTCTTTCTCTTCTTATTCTTCTCTCGCTCCGTTCTTCTTCTCTCTTTCTGATATTATTCCGTATCTATTTGCACGGTTTATCCCGACCTGCATTCCTCGTCCCTGTTATTCTTACGTTATTCTTGCTTTTCTCCCCGGAAAAAGTTTCCCTTGGAAACGCGTTTAATCCGCGCTGTTTTAGGAAACGAGACGAATAGCTGGAGATTTGAAACGATAATTTTCCAATTTCGTCGACCGTTGTGTCCCGTTTGCCAAATCATTTTCCAATTATTCTCGCTCTTTCGACCGCTGTGATATTTTTCGAAGAATTAAATTGGGCGAATCTTCGAAGTACGAGAATTCAATATTGTACGTTATGTTTGGTGCTACATTTTTTTCAATTATATCAAAGAATACTTATGCATACTAAATTGGAACGAAGAAGATGGAAGATAATACGACTCGTTGAACTATTTTTTCTTATAGATCGCGTAAAATAATCGAGATCCACGATCAAATCTCTCCGGAAAAAGAAACGAAGAAATTTTTCTCGTCGGTATTTACACGCTTCCTTAGATTAATGGAAAATGAGAAGGCGTCTTGATAAGATGAACGAGGTTAGAACTCTGTTTACTGCAACAACGTTGGACACGTTTCTTTGGAACACGAAATAAATAACATTTATTTATTTTATCATTTATTCGACGCTCTTTCAATTATTATTCGATAAATGATTTTGCCAATCACTATTTGATAAGCGATTGACAAAATTATTAATTATTAATTGACGACTAATTAGACACGTATTAATAAATAGTTCGCCGTTTTATCAATTTATTAATCGATAAACAAATGACAAGTTTGTTAATTAACCAATAATTAAATTTTCCTTCACCTATTTGAACAACGAAATTATTTAATCGATTTAAGCGGGCGCAATTGATTAACGAGCTGTTTTATTACGATCACGGAGAGCGAAAATTCACGATTCTTTTTTCAAATTAATATTTGTGCCTTCCTTCGCATCATCTCCTGCCTCATCCGTTTCACCCTATCCGCCGCTTGATTTATAACATAGGGTAATATTGACATGGTCGCACCTCCATCGACCTATGCTTAGATTCCTCCTCCGTGATACGTTCAGGTAATCCAGTACGTGATCTATAATACCGATACCTGCATACTGATGAATACCCGATACATCAATACACCAACACTGTGTGTGTGACTCCAAAGAACTTCCTTATCGACAAATCGTAAATTACTCGATGGAAGCCTAACATACATGTCGAAATGTGTTTCAACACGTTCGAAGAACAAAATTTCTGCATTCGTCGTGTCGAGAAATTATAATTACAACTTATCCAATTTTCTACTCGAATCGTCGACACTTTCATCGGGGGAAAAGATTTTTTTCAACATTCGTCAAAATTTCTCCTCTCTTTTTATCTTCGAGCTGCTGTCCCTCGACACAACAGAAATATCCAACTTCTTATGTGGCCGATTTTTCTCTCGTGAAAACGTTTCGATGAAATCGCTGTTATTACGCGCACATATACAATCGTGGATTATTCAACGAAACGGAAGGATTAAACGGACGAAAGAAGCGAGACGAGATCGGGGATGGCGTCATCGTTTCCTCGCAGCGGATTCGTAAATCACCGTTTTCTTATTATTTCGCAGCGCGGAAATTGGGAGGACGCCAAGTGAATTAATTGATAATCTGATCGCGCGCGGATTTATTATACTTGGAGGACGTTTAACCGCGGCGGTCTTGCGGCCGCCATTTGTCTCGCGAGATATCATCGTTTCGCCATCTGTCTCGCAAACCCTTGTTGCCCATCCCTGCCTGCCTGATGTCGACGCGTTTGTTTCCATGGCTAGCCGCGATAATCCGAGCGCAGCGATCTCGAACTAACTGGGCAGAATTATTATTTTTCTCCATGGAGATTGTGCGGAGATTTGATTTTTGGAGAGAGCAATATTGCTACGAGTATAGAATATGCATAGGAAAATAAAATATAGGGAGAGAAAATCGAATATAATTAAATAAAAAGAACGAAAATTATAGTTTTTTAATATATGGATTATGACAATTAAAATTTTGCTTAGTTCTATTCAACGAATACTGCTCATCTACTTTAATGTCGCGTGATAGATGTAATTGTCGAATAATTACAGAAGAATGAAATATTAGGTTGGAGTAGGTCGTGAAACGAATGACAACAAAGAGTATATTTAATAATGGAAAAGAAAAGGAGTAAACTATGATGTATTTAGATGTGAGTGGTGCCCCTTTGTTCCATTGTGCCCAAAAAAAGGGGAACAACAAGCAATTCACGAGTCGGACGTATATAAACTGAACGTAAAAAGATGAGTTATCGACAAGAAGAAATTCGCGAAATAAATTAATTTTCGTCGCAACGCGAAACATTTGTCACAATTTCCTTCACAAGAATCCTCGAACGTCTGACCACTCGTGTCGTTCCACTCGGCGATAAATAAACCGTCTCTCGTTTGGCCATCGAGCCAAGCGAAGCGGCAAATTTCGACGCGACATTGTTTGCAATCTCTCGGCGCGCGCGGTTTTCGCCAAACGATGTTTTAATGAACGGAAGGGGATGAGTGGAAAAACGCGGATTAAAATTCTCGCGTAAAACAGTTACAACGTAAACAGTTCGTGCGCTCGAATCGTGTAAAATCGAGCAACGATTCGCCGACATGGCTTTCCCGCCATTATCGAATGCTGTTGAAAAGTGGGAGCGGAACTCTTTTTTCTTCTCTCTCTGATCCCTCTCGAAACGAATGGACGCGAAAAAAGCGTGCGTACGTTAATTTTCGAACGAGGCGAAGGGAGAGAGGCCTGATGGAGAGGGAAGAGATCTTCGATCCAAGAAGATGGATGACGATGGAAATCGTGATGCTTCAGAAAAGGATACGAGGATTGCTCTTTCGATATGTAAACAATTGTCGTATCGTCGAGAGAGATACGCGGATTGAAAATTGATAGGTTATAGGATTAATCCAGATGACCAGCTGGTGGATACATACGCTTTAATATGGAACAAATGATGCTGCGTAACGAGATCGGAGGATACGTTTGGAAACGTATTTTGGTGAGCGTATAAATTTTCTTGCAATACGAGTGGCACGTAATTTATGGTAATATGTCGAGGAATGCGTTTCGTTTGTCGATAATTTGAAACGGATGGACCGTTAACGAGGCTATGCGAATTTTCGAAAATGTCGAGGAATTAATTATATAATTATGCGCGAGAGAGAAATTCTCGAGGATTTTTGATACGTTTTCGTAAGATATGCGTCATCGTGGATAGCGCATAGCGGAGGATGAAAACGTTTGAGCTTAAATTAACCGTTGAAAGGTTAATCCACGATGATTGGTAACCACGTGGACCGATGATTCCGTGGCGCGATAATTATTCCACTGGGCGGAATTTAATAATGGAACGCGATTAATTTTCAATGGACGATTTGATTTTTCAAAGCATTGGAAATTTCAAAGCAGCCAACCGATCGAATAACCGAATATTTTCCCGCTCCGATTCGAATATATCTATCCGTATATCGAAAATAAATAAGACAAGTAAAGACGCGATGATTTATGAGTAAAATATATATTTATAAATAACGTTTAAAGATGTTGGCATTTTCGACAATTTTCGAGATTTGGAATTTTACAATTAGATTGCTGTGTGATAACAATTTCAACGAGGCCTGATATCTTCGCTATCGATTTACCTCTCCGTCCACTTTTAAATCGCAAATATCCTTGCTGCCGGTGCAAGCTGAGGGATATAGGGCGCCTTTTTATCCGATAACAATTATAAGGGGTGGCGGAAGCACGCACGATGAAAAATGGCCGGCTCACGAGACGCAATTAATCTTCGTTCGACTCTGTAATTGACCGTGGGAACAAGTGCAGAAAACAGCAACGCGTCTCGAGTATGATGTATTAACGAACACGAGGGGATGAAATGCATTAATAATCTTCGCTTCTTTCCCCTCCCTCCCTCCCTTCCTTCCTTCCTTCCTTTCTTTCCTTCCTTTTCTCGCCGCTTTAAATCTCTCCGAATCATTTCCACTCGCGGTAAAACGAGGAAGAACCGTTCCTCCTTCCCTTCCCGATTTTTACCTAATATCTAACAGTATTTTCGCGGGAAGGATCGGAGGAGAGTTCGAAAAACCTTCTTTCGCGAGGGAATAAGCCTTGGAAAATGAAACGAAGAGATTTTGCTAAGAAGAGATTGGAAATTTTTTTCCTTTTCTCTTTTCTTCTTCTTCCTCCTCTTCTTCCCCAATTTCTCCCTGTATATTCTCGTGAGCGAAGAGACGTAGAGGAATCGAGGTTAAAATCCTGGTAGGAAATTAAGCTGCTTCCTTCCATTTATCAACGAAAGGAATATCGTAATAATGGAATACGAATGGACGGAGCCAAGAAGGGAAACCAATCGAATCCGCCTTCTTCTTCCACCTCTGTTTAACCGATTATCGAAAATGATACGCACGAGATGGAAGCACAGGGGTCGGGTTAACATCGTTACTGGATCGTTTTAAACTTTTACGAACTTTTTGCTCGAGGGAATCGTTTTCATAAAGATTCAACGTGGAAGGAGGAAGGGGAAAAAAGGAGGGGGGAGAAGGAGGATAGAGGAATCTGGTCGCGGTTAATGGTACGCCTTTAACTGAAAAATCTACTTCGAACCTAGACAAAGGGTTTCGACCGAGCGTGTAACGAGTTTGTTACACTGCGCACGTTAGTGTAATGAAGTTTTCCCGACGTGCTCGTGTGCATCGTGTGTGTGTGTGTATCGCCCACGAACGCGCGTTCTATTGCGGGGGAGGGCGGCAACTTCTGTTAAACTACCGTATAATGCCCCCGTATTATCAGAGAAAGAGGCGAGGCGCAAGAAAACATTGGCGACCGTTAGAGCCGTACCAACGGAAATTGCGTGTAATAAAATCTGGATATACTTTTCAATCGTGTGCCGTGTCTCGAAAATGGGCGAGACTTTCTCGTTTTTAATTGGAGATTCTCCTTCTCTCTCTCTCTCTCTCTCTCTCTCTCTTTATTTCTTTCGATATATAGATAGAAAATGATAGAAAATGCGGCAATTTTCTGCAAATGTTTAGTCGAAAGTTAATGGGATATAATACTTTCTTGGAATTTTTATTTTCGCTAATATTAAGGTGTTGTTAGATACCTTGAAAGAGAGAGTAGTTTAGAGAGTGATTTAAGTATTTCTTTTTTGAATCTGAAAATGAATCGATAAACGAAAGATAATAATATTTCTTTTGGAATTTATAAAATCTTTAACAATCGCTTCGATATTAGTTAAAATAGAATTTTCGTTGCGTTCGAAATTTTATCGAAACCAGATTGAAGAAAGATCAATCCATCTCGCGAAGATGACTATGCTCAAGATGTCATCGTGAAAATATACAAATTAAAAAGAAGACGAAATTCTGGAAATATTTTGTCCATTTGAACACGTAATAATATAAGAATCAATACAAGAATCTTCCACAATTTGATCTCTGGGAATATTTCTTTAAACTTCGCACGAGTAGGAAATATTTTCCAGCGGGGGATGATCGGCGAGCCTAAACGATTTTTGCAAAAAAAAAAAAAAGGACGAGCAGGTTTTCATTGATTCTATCAGGCCAGGAAAGTCCGTGAAAGTGGTCCACGTTACAAACTAGATTTTCCTCCGTAACCGTTCGAATTTATCTTTATGGGAATACGTTGGATAGGTGGAATAAGATCTTTCGACGTTGACCCCCTTCCACACCTCGGCCAATATATTTCCCTTTTTCACGAACGCGATTCTATGGAACGAACGGCAGTTAGAAATCTTACGTTACGGTTTCTTCGATACCAGGAAGATCCCTTTAAAATGATACAACGATTGATAAATTGGAAAAATCTTTTAATTTGAAACATTGCACTCTGTTGCTTGCATCACCACCACAAAGGAAATATCGCATAAATTTGTCGATCAACGCGCTTTTAAATTACTCTTTTTTTTTTCCTTTCATCTCATTTCCCTTCAATTTTTAATAATATTACGCGTTAATTTCAGCTACGTGTATTAATACAATAATAGGACAGGAAATTAATCTCGTATAAATAAATTCTCCGATAAATTCCATGAAAAAGAATTTTTTTATTTGTTTTTTTTTTAAATAAAACGAGCTGTACAAGTGATGTTAATATTAAAAAGAAAAAAATTATCGAAACGTGGATCGATACCATCGTTGTTTAAACAATAAGTAAAATGCAAAGTATCGTTGAGCCTCGTTGAGAATCTTCCTTTCCCAATTATCATATGAATAACATTTTTTTCGATGCCATTTTTAAATTAAATCACCATCAAATTGCCACGGCCAGGATGGCAGAACGCAAAAGTCGAAATAGTCCTTAAAGCAATTCGAAGAAAAAGATGTTAAGAACGCGAGGCGATATAAGAGGCGAACAGCCTCGAGAGGACACGTTTCTGGTTGAATTTCAGCCACGACACGGTCCAAAGAAACGCGTGTTTTACGATGGGAAACGTACGTGTGTCGTTTGTGTGATCGATCACGCGGTATTTTGTCGGATTGTCGGTTTATTTTGAAATGCTTTGCGATTTCTTTTCTTTGTAAGAAAATTAATGGCGAATAATTTGTATCCAACGATTTTTATTTGGCAACTTTTTCAATCGAGCGTATATCGGTATATCGATTTATTTTTCTCATTCGTTGTAATTTTATTGCATTTTGTTGCGAATGTTGCCAGGATACGTTCATTCGGAAATATTGCTAAAAATCTTATTATCACTTTTCTACGTTTCGAGAAAGAAAATGTTTTAATTTTTCGAAATTGGAAGAAAAATTTCTTTTTACAACTCGTTGGCAAAAATATTGTAATATAAATGTCTGGGGATAATTTCAAGACGTTTAGGTAGCGAGAAGAGGAAAAGTATAACAGGTACTTGATACGTGGAATGAAATTGATCCTCTGATGGTATTTGCGAAAAATTGTTGTATTCTCTACCGACGTCGGTACGATGATATCGCTCGAATCGGTAAATGCTGGGCGAGAGATTGATACGATGTCAAAGGAATATTGATCTTTCTCTGAATATTGTCGTTCCAACGTATTGGAATCGTGCAACGATTCGATGAACAGTTTACAGTATTTCCTCCCTGTATGCTCTCGAGAATTATTGAACGTTGAGTCAACGTTGTAACATATATTTATATAGACACATAACATCACGCTATTTCTTTCGTTCGAAAGTCAATCTTTTCTCGATTATCAATTGAGAATATTATATTCTTCTCTCTGTTTCTCTCAATAATTCGTCCACACCAAAAGAACCAAAATTGTATTTGTTATTCATTACTCAAAGACCTTCTCATTAACAAATCCCTAACGTATTAACGTATCTCATTAACGTACATCCCTTTCATCCAATTATCTCGTTACACAATAGAACGTAATCAAAATTAAAATTCCACCAAAGAAACTCGCTTATTACCTCATTATCCCCTTCCCCTCTCCATCATCAACCCCCTTAATACAATCCAAACTTTAAACCACACCACACTTTCCTCTCCCCTTTAAAACCACTTTCCCTCTCGCATCGAAGAAACGCAGCACGCTGCTTTCTCATCCCTTGCGACGCGACGTTTCCTCGACTTCCGGCACGGCACAAGCTCGTCCAACCCCTCCTTTCCTCGTCCCTCCCCTCGGTAAACCGAGCGGAAGCCTTCAATTATCTCGCACTCTTACCTAATCGTGGTATTTCCTTAATTAACCGCGAAGAGAGAGAGAGAGAGAGAGAGAGGCTTACCGGGAGCAAAGGGGGTCGACGATGGGTCACGTTGTGGTGCTTGTACAGGATGCACGAGGCAGGAAACGTGATCGCGCCTGAGGCGGCCATGTAACTGGTCAGGGCCACCAGGATGCTCGTCGGCCCGTGCACCATGTGGATCAGGGGCAATCGAACCAGCAAGCACCAGACACCGCTCGACAGCAACATGCACGACATGGTGAGGAGGCATGTGCCCGCGAAAAACATGTAGAAATTGTCGAACGTTAGGCTGCCTTGGTTGCTCGTTACCTGTGGACCATGTTGAGAAAATAATTGAGACGAGCATAAGGAGATTTATTTATTGAGAGGGATTTGATG